TGGATGGATGGATGGATGGGTGGATGGAAGGATGGATGATGATGGATGATGGATGGATGATGGAGGAGTGGTGAATGGATGGATGGATGGAGGATGGACGGAGGATGGATGGATGGTTAGAGGAATGCTGGATCAGCCATTAAAGCAGTGCATTGCTGTTTGTCTCCTGCTCGGTGCCCTCTCCATTGCAGCCCCAGCTCCACAGGAGAAGCCACCAACCAAGCCCCGCCTGGGCGAGCTGAGGGCCCCTCACGTCACCTCTGACTCGGTGCAGCTGGAGTGGAGCGTCCCTGAGGGCACCTTTGACTCCTTCACGCTGCAGTACCGCGATGCACAAGGCCAGCCCCAGGTGCTGCCCGTGGACGGGGGTTCCCGCACGCTGACGCTGCCGGGGCTGTCCCCGTCCCGCCGCTACAAGTTCAACCTGTACGGGCTGTGGGGTCGCACACGCCTGGGCCCCGTCTCCACCGACACTGTCACAGGTGAGGGGGCTCTGGCACCAGCCCCGCTGAACCGCCTCTTGTAGTGGACAGAAGCTTGGGCAGGGCCCGTGCTCGTGCCTTGGTCAGTGGAGGAAAGGGGGTGGGAGGGGATTTGGGATCAGTGGAAGGATGGGGGTGTGACAGGTTGGAAGGATGGGGGGTTGTTGAGGATGGATGGGTGGATGGATGATGGATGGGTTGGTGCATGGATGAATGAATGTATTGAAGTATGGATGGATTGATGGACATATGTATGCATGGTGCACGGATGGATGGGTGGATGGGTGGATTAATGGATGATGGATGTATGGGTGGATGATGCATGGATGATGGATGGATGATGATGAATGGATGGGTGATGGATGGATGGATTGATGGATGGATTGATGGATGATGGGTGGATGATGGATGGATGGATGGATGGATGGATGGATGGATGGATGGATGGATGGATGGATGATGGGTGGATGAATGATGGACGGATGGGTGGATTGATGGATGGATGGATGGATGGATGGATGGATGGATGGATGATGGATGGATGAAGGATGGATGGATGGATGGATGGATGGATTGATGGATGGATGGATGGATGGATGGATGGATTGATGGATAGATGGATGGATGGATGATGGGTGGATGAATGATGGATGGATGGATGGGTGTATGATGGGTGGATGATGGATGGGTGAATGGATTATGGATAGATGGATGACGGATGGATGATGACAGTTTGGGCGAATGGATGGCTTCTTTTTACGCCTGTAACAGCCGGAGGGGTCCCTGATTGGCTGCCCCCTTTACGTGTGTGTGGCCGGGCTGTTGGAGGGTTGATGCCTGCACCGACGGGTCCTTGCACAGTTCATGCTTGAACCCCCAGGGGTGACATTGCCTTGGGTCCCACCCGGGCTCTGCTTGGGGGTCCCGGGGTGCCCGGGTTGCCCCTTGGGCACAGTCACCCACAGGCCCCTCCACAGGCGCCCCAGGGACCCTCTGGGTGGGAACCGTGTGGCCCCGCAGCGCCCGCCTGCACTGGGACCCCCGTCGCGTTCCCCCCGATGGCTACGACCTTGTCTATGGGCCCCCTGGAGGAGCCCAGCAGGTAACGCCCCCCCCCCCCCTCGAGTCCCCCCCCAGAACCCCTTGGGGACCCCACCATTCCCTTTGGGACCCCAGCAACCCCTTGGGTCACCAATATCTCCCCATGCACCCCAATACCTCTTGTGGGGCCCCCTAGTACCTTCTTGGGACGCCCCAATCCCCCCCTTGGGGCACCCCAACCCTCCCCTGTGCTTCCCCCCCCCCCCCCAGACATTGCAGCTCCCCCCTGAGGCAACATCCTATGAGCTGTGGGGCCTGGAGCCTGCGGGGCGCTATGGGGTGCAGCTACGGGGCCGGGGAGAAGATGCCCCCCCCACCCTGCTGGAGACCACCTTTGACACCCGTGAGCTGGGGTCCTGAGGCCTTGGGGGGGGGACACCCAGACCCATGGTCATTGGGTGATGGGGATGTTGGGTCATTGGGTGGGGGGCACCCAGACCCATGGTCATTGGGTGATGGGGGTGTTGGGTCATTGGGTGGGGGGCACCCAGACCCATGGTCATTGGGTGATGGGGGTGTTGGGTCATTGGGTGGGGGTCACCCAGACCCATGGTCATTGGGTGATGGGGGGATGTTGGGTCATTGGGTGGGGGGCACCAAGACCCATGGTCATTGGGTGATGGGGATTTTGGGTCATTGGGTGGGGGGCACCCAGACCCATGGTCATTGGGTGATGGGGCTGTTGGGTCATTGGGTGGGGGGCACCAAGACCCATGGTCATTGGGTGATGGGGGTGTTGGGTCATTGGGTGGGGGTCACCCAGACCCATGGTCATTGGGTGATGGGGGTGTTGGGTCATTGGGTGGGGGTCACCCAGACCCATGGTCATTGGGTGATGGGGATGTTGGGTCATTGGGTGGGGGGCACCAAGACCCATGGTCATTGGGTGATGGGGGATGTTGGGTCATTGGGTGGGGGGCACCCAAACCCATGGTCATTGGGTGATGGGGATGTTGGGTCATTGGGTGGGGGTCACCCAGACCCATGGTCATTGGGTGATGGGGATGTTGGGTCATTGGGTGGGGGGCACCCAGACCCATGGTCATTGGGTGATGGGGGGTGTTGGGTCATTGGGTGGGGGGCACCCAGACCCATGGTCATTGGGTGATGGGGATGTTGGGTCATTGGGTGGGGGGCACCCAGACCCATGGCCACTGGGTGATGGGGGGTGTTGGGTCAATGGGTGGGGGACACCAAGACCCATGGTCATTGGGTGATGGGGGTGTTGGGTCATTGGGTGGGGGGCACCCAGACCCATGGTCATTGGGTGATGGGGATGTTGGGTCATTGGGTGGGGGTCACCCAGACCCATGGCCACTGGGTGATGGGGATGTTGGGTCATTGGGTGGGGGGCACCCAGACCCATGGTCATTGGGTGATGGGGGGTGTTGGGTCATTGGGTGGGGGGCACCCAGACCCATGGCCACTGGGTGATGGGGGGTGTTGGGTCAATGGGTGGGGGACACCAAGACCCATGGTCATTGGGTGATGGGGGTGTTGGGTCATTGGGTGGGGGGCACCCAGACCCATGGTCATTGGGTGATGGGGATGTTGGGTCATTGGGTGGGGGGCACCAAGACCCATGGTCATTGGGTGATGGGGGTGTTGGGTCATTGGGTGGGGGGCACCCAGACCCATGGCCCCCCCCTGCCCCCCCAGCCCCCCTTCCCCACCCGCACCCCCGGGACTGCGCCGAGGAGCAGCTCAATGGGCCGGGGCCTTCGCGCGAGGCCCTCGTCTTCCTCGGGGGGGACCCCGCGAGGCCCCTGCGCGTCTTCTGCGACATGGACACGGACGGCGGCGGGTGGCTGGTGGGGAGCTATGGGGGGGTCCTATGGGGAGCTATGGGGGGTCCTATGGGGAGCTATGGGGGGTCCTATGGGGAGCTATGGGGGGTTCTATTGGGAGCTATGGGGTGTCCTATGGGGAGCTATGGGGGGGGTCCTATGGGGAGCTATGGGGGGGTCCTATGGGGAGCTATGGGGGGGTCCTATGGGGAGCTATGGGGGGCTCCGAGGGGGAGCTATGGGGGGGTCCTATGGGGAGCTGTGGGGGGGTCCTATGGGGAGCTATGGGGGGGTCCTATGGGGAGCTATGGGGGGGCTCCTATGGGGAGCTGTGGGGGAGGTCCTATGGGGGTGCTCCTATGGGGAGCTATGGGAGGCCTCCTATGGGGAGCTATGGGGGGGGTCCTATGGGGGTGCTCCTATGGGGAGCTATGGGAGGCCTCCTATGGGGAGCTATGGGGGGGTCCTATGGGGAGCTATGGGGGGGTCCTATGGGGAGCTATGGGGGGCTCCGAGGGGGAGCTATGGGGGGGTCCTATGGGGAGCTGTGGGGGGGTCCTATGGGGAGCTATGGGGGGGTCCTATGGGGAGCTATGGGGGGGCTCCTATGGGGAGCTGTGGGGGAGGTCCTATGGGGGTGCTCCTATGGGGAGCTATGGGAGGCCTCCTATGGGGAGCTATGGGGGGGGTCCTATGGGGGTGCTCCTATGGGGAGCTATGGGAGGCCTCCTATGGGGAGCTATGGGGGGAGGTCCTATGGGGAGCTATGGGGGGAATCGAGGGGTCTGGAGGGCAACGGGAGGGCACGCGGAGGGGCTGTGTGGGGGTTATGGGGGTGATAAATGGGGTCCTGGGGGGAAAGGGGCCTTGTGGGGCGCTGGGGGGCACTGGGAGGGGTTAAGGGAGGGTGGAAATGGGGAAGCGGAGGGGCCTGGTGAGCAATTGGGGGGGGTCTATGGGGCGGGGGGTGTCCATGGGGCGGGGTGGGGGGGTCTCAATGGGGCTGCCCCTGATCTCCCCCCCCACCCCCCACCCCAAAGGTGTTCCAGCGGCGCCAGGACGGGGGCACGGATTTCTGGCGGGGGTGGGACGAGTACGAGAGGGGCTTCGGGAACGTGAGCGGAGAATTCTGGTTGGGTGAGAGATGGGGGGGAAGTGGGGCGGGGAGGGGGGAGCAAGGGGGGGACTTGGGGGGCAGCGGGGGGGGAAGGAGGGAGCAACAATGGGGTGGGGAGGAGGGGAGGGACCCAATGGTTGTGGGGATTGGGGGCACCCAAGTCCATGTCCGTGATCACCCATGTCCATGTCCATACTCACCCATGTCCATACTCACCCATGTCCATGTCCATGCTCACCCATGTCCATACTCACCCATGTCCATGTCCATACTCACCCATGTCCATGTCCATACTCACCCATGTCCATGTCCATACTCACCCATGTCCATGTCCATACTCACCCATATCCATGTCCATACTCACCCATGTCCATGTCCATACTCACCCATGTCCATGTCCATGCTCACCCATGTCCATGTCCATACTCACCCATGTCCATGCTCACCCAAGTCCATGTCCATACTCACCCATGTCCATGTCCATGCTCACCCATGTCCATGTCCATACTCACCCATGTCCATGTCCATGCTCACCCATATCCATGCTCACCCAAGTCCATGTCCATACTCACCCATGTCCATGTCCATACTCACCCATGTCCATGTCCATGCTCACCCATGTCCATGTCCATGCTCACCCACGTCCATGTCCATACTCACCCATGTCCATGTCCATACTCACCCATGTCCATGTCCATGCTCACCCATGTCCATGTCCATACTCACCCATGTCCATGTCCATACTCACCCATGTCCATGTCCATACTCACCCATGTCCATGTCCATACTCACCCATGTCCATGTCCATGCTCACCCATGTCCATGTCCATACTCACCCATGTCCATGTCCATACTCACCCATGTCCATGTCCATGCTCACCCATGTCCATGTCCATACTCACCCATGTCCATGCTCACCCAAGTCCATGTCCATACTCACCCATGTCCATGTCCATGCTCACCCATGTCCATGTCCATACTCACCCATATCCATGTCCATACTCACCCATGTCCATGTCCATGCTCACCCATGTCCATGTCCATACTCACCCATATCCATGTCCATACTCACCCATGTCCATGTCCATGCTCACCCATGTCCATGTCCATGCTCACCCATGTCCATGTCCATACTCACCCATGTCCATGTCCATGCTCACCCATGTCCATGTCCATACTCACCCATGTCCATGTCCATACTCACCCATGTCCATGTCCATGCTCACCCATGTCCATGTCCATACTCACCCATGTCCATGCTCACCCAAGTCCATGTCCATACTCACCCATGTCCATGTCCATGCTCACCCATGTCCATGTCCATACTCACCCATGTCCATGTCCATGCTCACCCATATCCATGCTCACCCAAGTCCATGTCCATACTCACCCATGTCCATGTCCATACTCACCCATGTCCATGCTCACCCAAGTCCATGTCCATACTCACCCATGTCCATGTCCATGCTCACCCATGTCCATGTCCATACTCACCCATATCCATGTCCATACTCACCCATGTCCATGTCCATACTCACCCATGTCCATGTCCATGCTCACCCATGTCCATACTCACCCATGTCCATGTCCATACTCACCCATGTCCATGTCCATACTCACCCATGTCCATGTCCATACTCACCCATGTCCATGCTCACCCAAGTCCATGTCCATACTCACCCATGTCCATGTCCATGCTCACCCATGTCCATGTCCATACTCACCCATGTCCATGTCCATGCTCACCCATATCCATGCTCACCCAAGTCCATGTCCATACTCACCCATGTCCATGTCCATACTCACCCATGTCCATGTCCATGCTCACCCATGTCCATGTCCATGCTCACCCACGTCCATGTCCATACTCACCCATGTCCATGTCCATACTCACCCATGTCCATGTCCATGCTCACCCATGTCCATGTCCATGCTCACCCATATCCATGTCCATACTCACCCATGTCCATGTCCATGCTCACCCATGTCCATGTCCATACTCACCCATGTCCATGTCCATACTCACCCATGTCCATGTCCATACTCACCCATGTCCATGTCCATGCTCACCCATGTCCATGTCCATGCTCACCCACGTCCATGTCCATACTCACCCATGTCCATGTCCATACTCACCCATGTCCATGTCCATGCTCACCCATGTCCATGTCCATACTCACCCATGTCCATGTCCATGCTCACCCATGTCCATGTCCATGCTCACCCATGTCCATGTCCATACTCACCCATGTCCATGTCCATGCTCACCCATGTCCATGTCCATACTCACCCATGTCCATGTCCATACTCACCCATGTCCATGTCCATGCTCACCCATGTCCATGTCCATACTCACCCATGTCCATGCTCACCCAAGTCCATGTCCATACTCACCCATGTCCATGTCCATGCTCACCCATGTCCATGTCCATACTCACCCATATCCATGTCCATACTCACCCATGTCCATGTCCATGCTCACCCATGTCCATGTCCATACTCACCCATATCCATGTCCATACTCACCCATGTCCATGTCCATGCTCACCCATGTCCATGTCCATGCTCACCCATGTCCATGTCCATACTCACCCATGTCCATGTCCATGCTCACCCATGTCCATGTCCATACTCACCCATGTCCATGTCCATACTCACCCATGTCCATGTCCATGCTCACCCATGTCCATGTCCATACTCACCCATGTCCATGCTCACCCAAGTCCATGTCCATACTCACCCATGTCCATGTCCATGCTCACCCATGTCCATGTCCATACTCACCCATGTCCATGTCCATGCTCACCCATATCCATGCTCACCCAAGTCCATGTCCATACTCACCCATGTCCATGTCCATACTCACCCATGTCCATGCTCACCCAAGTCCATGTCCATACTCACCCATGTCCATGTCCATGCTCACCCATGTCCATGTCCATACTCACCCATATCCATGTCCATACTCACCCATGTCCATGTCCATACTCACCCATGTCCATGTCCATGCTCACCCATGTCCATACTCACCCATGTCCATGTCCATACTCACCCATGTCCATGCTCACCCAAGTCCATGTCCATACTCACCCATGTCCATGTCCATGCTCACCCATGTCCATGTCCATACTCACCCATGTCCATGTCCATGCTCACCCATATCCATGCTCACCCAAGTCCATGTCCATACTCACCCATGTCCATGTCCATACTCACCCATGTCCATGTCCATGCTCACCCATGTCCATGTCCATGCTCACCCACGTCCATGTCCATACTCACCCATGTCCATGTCCATACTCACCCATGTCCATGTCCATGCTCACCCATGTCCATGTCCATGCTCACCCATATCCATGTCCATACTCACCCATGTCCATGTCCATGCTCACCCATGTCCATGTCCATACTCACCCATGTCCATGTCCATACTCACCCATGTCCATGTCCATACTCACCCATGTCCATGTCCATGCTCACCCATGTCCATGTCCATACTCACCCATGTCCATGTCCATACTCACCCATATCCATGTCCATACTCACCCATGTCCATGTCCATGCTCACCCATGTCCATGTCCATACTCACCCATGTCCATGTCCATACTCACCCATGTCCATGTCCATACTCACCCATGTCCATACTCACCCATGTCCATGTCCATACTCACCCATGTCCATGTCCATGCTCACCCATGTCCATACTCACCCATGTCCATGTCCATACTCACCCATGTCCATGTCCATACTCACCCATGTCCATGTCCATACTCACCCATGTCCATGTCCATACTCACCCATGTCCATGTCCATACTCACCCATGTCCATGCTCACCCATGTCCATGTCCATACTCACCCATGTCCATGTCCATACTCATCCATGTCCATGTCCATACTCACCCATGTCCATGTCCATACTCACCCAAGTCCATGTCCATACTCACCCATGTCCATGTCCATACTCACCCATGTCCATGTCCATACTCACCCAAGTCCATGTCCATACTCACCCATGTCCATGTCCATACTCACCCATGTCCATACTCACCCATGTCCATGTCCATGCTCACCCATGTCCATACTCACCCATGTCCATGTCCATGCTCACCCAAGTCCATGTCCATACTCACCCATGTCCATGTCCATACTCACCCATGTCCATGTCCATGCTCACCCATGTCCATGTCCATACTCACCCATGTCCATACTCACCCATGTCCATGTCCATGCTCACCCATGTCCATACTCACCCATGTCCATGTCCATGCTCACCCAAGTCCATGTCCATACTCACCCATGTCCATGTCCATACTCACCCATGTCCATGTCCATGCTCACCCATGTCCATGTCCATACTCACCCATGTCCATGTCCATACTCACCCATGTCCATGTCCATACTCACCCATGTCCATACTCACCCATGTCCATGTCCATGCTCACCCATGTCCATGTCCATACTCACCCATGTCCATGTCCATACTCACCCATGTCCATACTCACCCATGTCCATGTCCATACTCACCCATGTCCATGTCCATACTCACCCATGTCCATACTCACCCATGTCCATGTCCATACTCACCCATGTCCATACTCACCCATGTCCATGTCCATACTCACCCATGTCCATGTCCATACTCACCCATGTCCATACTCACCCATGTCCATGTCCATACTCACCCATGTCCATGTCCATGCTCACCCATGTCCATGTCCATGCTCACCCATGTCCACGTCCATGCTCACCCATGTCCATACTCACCCATGTCCATGTCCATGCTCACCCATGTCCATGTCCATACTCACCCATGTCCATGTCCATACTCACCCATGTCCATGTCCATACTCACCCATGTCCATACTCACCCATGTCCATGTCCATGCTCACCCATGTCCATGTCCATACTCACCCATGTCCATGTCCATACTCACCCATGTCCATACTCACCCATGTCCATGTCCATACTCACCCATGTCCATACTCACCCATGTCCATGTCCATACTCACCCATGTCC